CACTTTTGCATCCTCGTTGCCGCACTCGCGCGCCACCCGTCGCTGCTCCAGTCGCCGGAACAACCTCTATCGTCCGTCGTCGTCCCGCAAGGTCGCACCATGATACCCGCTGAACGCCACTCTCGCACGACCGCAACCCTCCCGCATCCTCGCCGCCGCACTCGCACACAGCCTGCTGCCGCTCCAATTGCCAGAAGGCCTTTGCCGCTGCAACCCCTCGCACGACCGCGACCCTCCTACATCCTCGCCGCCGCACTCGCATTCCGCCCGCCGCCGCTCAAATCACCGGAAAGCCTTTGCCGCCGCACCCTGCCTGACCAACGTCATTGGGGAAGGATGGGGTGGGGCGAGAATTGGGGGAAGTGGGTGAGCCCAGCTGAGGGGAGGAGTGGCTGAGAATTGTGGAAAGGGATAAGGTATGAGTGGGTGAACCTGGTGTGAACGAGAAAATCGTTCAGGTGAGTTTGCCTTTGACGTGAACGAAGGAGCTATGATGACGTGGCGACTTCACGTGCGCCAATACGCGTGCATGCGATCCAATGTTAACAAACTTGTTCGGGGCAAGATGCACAAACATAACACGTTCGGGAGTTATTGATTCCGTAAAATAGTTAGGTAGGCGCCACAAGGAGCTCCTCTTTGGCGCTCTCAGCGCCGCTTACACAAGTTGGTGCTCGAAGGCCATGGCTACTAGGTAGGCCCAGCATCACTAGCGCAATAACCATTGCAATGCGATGACTTTCATGTTTTATATATCCAAAAACAACACTATTTGTCCCTTGTTGTCCGTCCAACTATAATTTATTTGAAAATAGAAAACGTATTTTTATAAATAATCACAAATTTTAGAAAAGGTTCATTGACTTTTAAAAATAGAATCACGGATCTAATAAAAAAGTTCACAAATTCAAAAAATATTATCAATTTTGAAAGATGCTCACAAATTTGAAACAAGTTCACCAGATTTTCAAAATGTTCCCTGGATTTTGGGGAAAACATTCACGGATTTGGAAAACTTTCTTTCATTTTCGTAACAAAAAATATGAATTAAAAGAAGTTCATCAAAATTAATTTTTTGACAAATTTGAAAAACATTCACTAGATTTTGAAAAAAACATGGATTTGAAAAGGTTCATAAATTTTGATAAAAAAGTTCGCCCATTTTGAAAAAACAAGTCACTTGATTTTTTTAAAAACTTCACAAAATCTGAAAAACGTTCACTGTTTTTTTAAAAAAAGTTAAACGATTTGATAAAAAAAGTACACAAATTCGTTCAAAAAATTTGAAAAACGTTCACTGGATTTTGAAAAAAAATCGCTGCGTTTTAAAAATTTCACACATTTTGAGAAAAGAAAGAAAAAGGAAAAAAGAAAAAGAAGAAGGAAGAAAAATGGAAAGAGAATGTAACATCAGGTTGAGAAGTCTAGGTGGCTACCGTAGCCAACTGTAAATGTGGACGTCGTATGTTCGAGTCACAAGAGTGTGGTCGTGTTTTAAAACCGAAAAATGAAAGGATAAACAGGCCAGCCAGCACGGAGTGGTAGTGTGCGCCGGTTTGCGGAAAACACTATAACGGGCGCCTTCAAATAGGGTTTGCCGACGCCACGGACGCGCCTGGGGCCTTCCTTGGACTGACATGTTTTTATTTGGTCTTGCTTTAAAACTATTATTAATCATGCATTTGAAAAAAAAATATGTATAGAAGCAATGTTGACTATGTATTAAAAATATCAAACTTGTATTTGAAAAATACTAATCAAGCATTTGAAAATGTTAAAATGGGTATAGAATGTAATGTTGATCATATATACAAAAACGTATCTTGTTTTAAAAAATGTTAATCCATCATTTAATTTTTTAAATGTGTATACAAAAAATATTGATCATGTATTAAAAATGTTAATCAAGCATTTAAAATACGTCAAATGTGTATAGAAAAGAATATTTCTCATGTAAATGTACACAAAAATATATATAATGTGTAGAAAAATTTCCTCATTTATTTAATAAATGTTAAGCAAGCACTTGAACCAAATGTTAAAAAGTGTGTGAAAAATATTAATCAAGCATTTTGAAAATGTTAAATGTGTATAAAAAAAGGTTGACCACCTATTAAGAAAATAAACTTGTATTTGAAAAATGTTAATCAAGTATTTGAAAATTGTCAAATGTGGATAGAAAAATGTTAACTATATATTTAAAAAATATTAAACTTTTATTTGGAAAAAAAGTTAACCAACCATTTGAAAAATGTTAAATCTGTATAGAGAAAGTGTTGACAATGTGTCCAAAAAATGTTAATTTTGTATTTAAAATTTTTAATGAAGATTTTAACAATGTTAAATGTATATAGAAAACAATTGACCATGTATTAAAAAAATTGTAACGGGCGCCTTCAAATAGGGTTTGCCGACGCCACGGACGCGCCTGGGGCTTTTCTTGGACTGACATGTTTTTATTTGGTCTTGCTTTAAAACTATTATTAATCATGCATTTGAAAAAAAAATATGTATAGAAGCAATGTTGACTATGTATTAAAAATATCAAACTTGTATTTGAAAAATACTAATCAAGCATTTGAAAATGTTAAAATGGGTATAGAATGTAATGTTGATCATATATACAAAAACGTATCTTGTTTTAAAAAATGTTAATCCATCATTTAATTTTTTAAATGTGTATACAAAAAATATTGATCATGTATTAAAAATGTTAATCAAGCATTTAAAATACGTCAAATGTGTATAGAAAAGAATATTTCTCATGTAAATGTACACAAAAATATATATAATGTGTAGAAAAATTTCCTCATTTATTTAATAAATGTTAAGCAAGCACTTGAACCAAATGTTAAAAAGTGTGTGAAAAATATTAATCAAGCATTTTGAAAATGTTAAATGTGTATAAAAAAAGGTTGACCACCTATTAAGAAAATAAACTTGTATTTGAAAAATGTTAATCAAGTATTTGAAAATTGTCAAATGTGGATAGAAAAATGTTAACTATATATTTAAAAAATATTAAACTTTTATTTGGAAAAAAAGTTAACCAACCATTTGAAAAATGTTAAATCTGTATAGAGAAAGTGTTGACAATGTGTCCAAAAAATGTTAATTTTGTATTTAAAATTTTTAATGAAGATTTTAACAATGTTAAATGTATATAGAAAACAATTGACCATGTATTAAAAAAATTGTATTTAAAAACTGTTAAACACTTATTCCAAAAATGTATTAGTTATATACCAAAAATGTGTATAAAAAATGAAAACCGAGATAAAACGACAAACAAGATGAAAAACGGAAAAAAAAGAAGCAAAATCAAAGAAAAGGCGGTGAAAACCGAAGAAACGGAAGAAAGAAACACCCCAGAAACAAAGAAAAATGGAAACCCTAAATAAAAAGAAGTGAAAATCAATGAGGAAACGAAGAAAACCTAGAAAAATAGAAAAGAAAACTGAGACGTTGCACTGTCGGCTGTTTGCCAACTCGGTCATGGGCCTAAGCCCAGGCTCATCTCCCTACCTGACGGCACATATATTGGAGGCATTGGTGAGTGCAACCAACACACCCACTTTCTCCTCGCGCAACCTTAGCCATCATCTACTCCTTGTCTCACCGTGCTGCTTTCGGCGATCCCATCCCGAGGACCGCGTGAATAGTCAGTCGGGCGAGCAGGCCTCCGAAACCCCGTCATTCAAGATCCTACACCGAGAGAAGGGCGATAGGGTTTTTGGGGAGAGTCTCGGCCCGACTGCTCCCGATCCGTCCCCGTCTTTGTCCGCTGCTTCGATTACTCCTGCATGGACACCATGGCTGTCCCCGCCAAGAAGAAGGCCACGGATGAAGCCGAGGTTGCTGTTGCCGTCGTGACCCTTGCCTGGCCTACCGGATGGTATGATTCGGCCATCCTCTACTTTCTCGTTCATGTGCTAGCCGTATATGATCTGTTCATAGATGTTTTGGTGCTATGCTATAGACGTGCGCACATGTTTAGGTTTCAGTATGAGTTGCATACTATGAATGCCATGTTTACCATTTGCTCGTGGATTAATCAAAAAAGTGCTAATATATCCATCATTCTACTCGCTAAAT